TATCATGGCAGAATGATGTAGGAGAAGACTTCAGGGTTATCATGGCAGAAGGATGAGTATAGTACATTGTAGGGGACTTCAGGGTTATCATGGCAGAAGGATGAGTATAGTACATTGTAGGGGACTTCAGGGTTATCATGGCAGAATGATGTAGGAGAAGACTTCAGGGTTATCATGGCAGAAGGATGAGTATAGTACATTGTAGGGGACTTCAGGGTTATCATGGCAGAATGAAGGATGTAGGATGTAGGGGACTTCAGGTTTATCATGGCAGAAGGATGAGTATAGTACATTGTAGGGGACTTCAGGGTTATCATGGCAGAAGGTTCCTCATGAGTATGAGTATGTACATTGTAGGGGACTTCAGGGTTATCATGGCAGAAGGATGAGTATAGTACATTGTAGGGGACTTCAGGGTTATCATGGCAGAAGGATGAGTATAGTACATTGTAGGGGACTTCAGGGTTATCATGGCAGAAGGATGAGTATATTACATTGTAGGGGACTTCAGGGTTATCATGGCAGAAGGATGAGTATAGTACATTGTAGGGGACTTCAGGCTTATCATGGCAGAAGGATGTAGGGATGACTTCAGGGTTATCATGGCAGAATGATGTAGGAGAAGACTTCAGGGTTATCATGGCAGAAGGATGAGTATCATTGTAGGGGATCAGGCAGCAGAAGGGATGTCAGGGTTATCATGGCAGAAGGGAAGACTTCAGACTTATCATGGTTATCAGCAGATGATGAGTACATAGACTTCAGGGTTATCATGGCAGAAGGATGTAGAAGACTTCAGGTTTATCATGGCAGAAGGATGAGTATAGTACATTGTAGGGGACTTCAGGTTTATCATGGCAGAATGATGTAGGAGAAGACTTCAGGGTTATCATGGCAGAAGGATGAGTATAGTACATTGTAGGGGACTTCAGGGTTATCATGGCAGAAGGATGAGTATAGTACATTGTAGGGGACTTCAGGTTTATCATGGCAGAAGGATGTAGGAGAAGACTTCAGGGTTATCATGGCAGAAGGATGAGTATAGTACATTGTAGGGGACTTCAGGTTTATCATGGCAGAAGGATGTAGGAGAAGACTTCAGGCTTATCATGGCAGAAGGATGTAGATGATGACTTCAGGTTTATCATGGCAGAATGATGTAGGAGAAGACTTCAGGGATACCATGGCAGAAGGATGAGTGTAGCACATTGTAGGAGTCTTCAGGGTTATCATGGCAGAAGGGTGAGTGTCGCACATTGAAGGAGTCTTCAGGGTTATCATGGCAGAAGGATGTAGGGGATTTCAGGTTTATCATGGCAGAAGGATGTAGGAGTCTTCAGGGTTATCATGGCAGAAGGGTGTAGGAGAAGACTTCAGGGTTATCATGGCAGAAGGGTGTAGGGGATGACTTCAGGGTTATCATGACAGAAGGATGTAGGGGACTTCAGGGTTATCATGGCAGAAGGGTGAGTGTCAGCTCATTGTAGGAGTCTTCAGGGTTATCATGGCAGAAGGGTGAGTGTAACACATTGTAGGAGTCTTCAGGGTTATCATGGCAGAAGGGTGAGTGTAGCACATTGTAGGAGTCTTCAGGGTTATCATGGCAGACGGATGTAGGGGATTTCAGGGTTATCATGGCAGAAGGATGTAGGAGTCTTCAGGGTTATCATGGCAGAAGGATGTAGGAGTCTTCAGGGTTATCATGGCAGAAGGGTGTAGGAGTCTTCAGGGTTATCATGGCAGAAGGATGTAGGAGTCTTCAGGGTTATCATGGCAGAAGGGTGAGTGTAACACATTGTAGGAGTCTTCAGGGTTATCATGGCAGACGGATGTAGGGGATTTCAGGGTTATCATGGCAGAAGGATGTAGGAGTCTTCAGGGTTATCATGGCAGAAGGATGTAGGAGTCTTCAGGGCTATCATGGCAGAAGGGTGAGTGTAGCACATTGTAGGAGTCTTCAGGGTTATCATGGCAGAAGGGGTGATTGCATGGCACTGTAGGACTGGCTTATGAATTCATCTACATCTGTACTCTTACATTCCAGTGTCTTGTCGAAATTTATGGAAAAAAAGACCGATCTTCCCACAAAATATATTCAAAGGTTGTTTCTGACTCTTGTAAGACTTGTGAGCAGTTGTCATACATACTGGTGTCTGATATAGAGGTGTCATACATAGTGGTGTCTGATATACAGGTGTCATACATTGTGGAGTCCGATATAGAGGTGTCATACATACTGGTGTCTGATATAGAGGTGTCATAAATACTGATGTCTGATATACAGATGTCATACATTCTGATGTTTCATATGGAGGTGTCATACATACTGATGTCTGACATACAAGTGTCATAATACTCTTGTTTCTGACTCTTGTAAGACTTGTGACCACTGTGTCTGGGTTCCTCAGTAATGCAGGATGATGTAAGCTTGTACTAAGTTGGCCTGTTGTCAAACATCAAAGCAGACGGTGAATCATGGTGACGGATTCATTCCTTTCCACAGAGGTGATGCTTTACAAATGAATTTTACATGAATCTGACCTGACAAGAAAGTGTTTAGTAACAAACTGCTTGCACAAACAACATTGATCCTTGTCGCAGTAACTTTTGTAAATTGTCTCAGTAATTATTTATCAGAACTGTAGACATGCCATGTTGTGCATTTGCAAGGGACTGTTTCAACGAGATCTCAACGCCCCATAGGAGATCTGTATTATTACAAAAGAAAGTATACATACAATATGTAAACTAAAAATAAACAATTGGTATGACATTCTGGTTTTCTTAATATTTATTGCTCATGGGGATATGGGAGGTGCAGGGTATATTTACATTACTGAATTGGTCATACCTAAAAACAGTATGTGTGTCTACTTAGGGGATGAGTGAAATTGGTAGTTTTACCAAGTTCATCTATAAGTTCCTTTCGTGAGTTGATTCTGCAGAGTGTTGGTGAAAAGATATGGACCATAATGTGTTCAACATTGGCTCTTCACTCCATTGTAAAGTTCACAGCTTATTTGAATTAAGGTAGTCATTATGTGAGGTGAAATGAGGTGAGGTTGGGTGAGGTCGGGTGACATAAGGATTAGTATCATGGTCAAGATTATTACCACATGATTGTACTTCTCTGGACTAACACCATTTTATTGTGAAGTGCAACACTTTTTATGGATAGACAACTTCTTCACTTCATCATACCATCTTCTAAATGCCACTTAAGGAAGACATTCCATTGTGCTTGTCCACTAAGATCTCATGCCACAGTTTCACATGGATATCCAGCCCAGACACAGTATACTGAATGAAAGTTTGATGCCATCTATGTCTGTGGTATGCTTGGCTGAGGATCAAACCACTGTCTGGGCAGGTACTCTATCCACTAGACCATACTGCTAGCCTAATCATTATGAGCTCAATGGATACAATGCCTTCTGTATGTTTTTCTGATCACTCAAGCTGATCATACATGTATGAGAATTTACCCAGCTGTCAATATCTGTCAATCAAACATGGCTGCCAAACTGGAAAGTTGGAAGTGATACAGAACCAAAGTTATCTAGCATTTATTGTAACAGCAAATAATGTTCACACCCACTTTCAGGGAACTGTTGTTTTTTATTTGTATTTGTTATTTAGTATGCAGCTACCATCATTACCCTGATCTAAAATATTTGATAATAAGATATAAAAGAAGAAAAGAATAACTGAGTATTTGTAAGGTATATTCAGATTTTTTCACTTTTCAAGTAGTGATGCCTGTTATGGAGCTTGGTTAATTAAAGCTACATATTCTCAGATGATTCAATATTCCTGATATCAATGGGTGTGTCTTAGTCTGGTGTGTCTTAGAATCATACACAATTGTAACAACCACGAATATATGTCGATGTATGGTAACTGTTAATGACCATTTAGGCCTTTTATATTTCTGTTGAAAATTTGTGATCAGTTTTTAAGTTTGGTTTGATAAAATAACAGGAAAATATTATCAGTTTTTTTTAGGATGAGAAGTCTCACACAATACATTTTTAGCTTTCTTTAGTGACATTCTTTGAAGTATTTTTTTATTGTATTTTTCATTGCAATGTTTCAGGAAAATATATTCAGGCATGTTGTTAGGGGTGCATATATCATAAACATATTTCATATTTGTCCCCAAATTGAAATCAAGTCCTTTGGCAAATAATGTCTGAAATTGCATGTCAGCACTGAAGTATGCCTGCAAATCTAATTTTTTTCACTATTTTGAAACTGAAATGTGTATTTTGTATATTAAACTTTGATCCATTTCATCCATTTTTTCAAAATTTTATTGATATTGTTTATTTAAATTTTTATCTAAATTTTGTGTGATCTGATCAGGCAGATTGCAAAAAGCTCATGATCATGTGCATCGTTGACTATCATTCTAAGGAGATCAGATACCATTTAACTGATGTCTTAAACGAACCTCAGTTGTCAGGAATGAAAGAATCTATCATAAATGTCATGCTGTTGTTTATATAAGTCAAAGTTTATTTGATAATATATATGATCTTCCATATATCATGTTCCTTCATATACAAATGACATATGAATCAGTTGATTGTGGATCGCAAACAGTTGCTTTGCAAATAAAAATTATGGTGTGTAGGGGTGAAATGGTATTCCGCGGTATTAGTAGAAACGCAGTATTTTGCCTTCGGTTCGATATCACGATAAAGCAATAAAAAAATTTAGTATTTTTGTTTTTGTGCCATCATTTCTATCTGGTCATAGAATGACAGTTTTGTTCATTAAAAATAACAAAGATTATGGTTATTTTCTTCCCATGTTATTAAACAATGTAAGGATTGATGCTTGTCAATTTTCTGGATTATGATCATAGCTCATATACCGAACTGGAACGGACTGAACTGTAGGCCTTGTACCGCAGTACATACCGTACCATGGTAAGAGTGTACCGTTTCACCCCTAGGTGTGTGTGTTAAGACATTATCTATCTCCACGTGTTGCAGGCCCGCAGACAGGAGTGGAGAGGACCTCGACATCATCTACTCCCGCCTCAAAGACATCAAGGCCCTGGAGAAGTTCCACCCTCTGCTGCTGCAACAAATTTGTTACTATGGTTACTACGAAGACCTGGAGAAGGGTGTCACATGTTAGTTAATAGGGATCCTACCATCACTTTTGAATTTATATATGAGTCTCAGTCAACAGGGGTTTCAAATCACATTTACCACCTCTAATTAAAACAACTGATCTGACTGCAGCTGGAGCTAGTACTTGAAAAAATGGTACCTCTTTGTCAGTCATTGTCATTATTTGAGGTATTTTGATATAATTAGAAGTACAATTGAGTGGTTATTACAATAGTCAGTTTATTTTTGACAGTACATTCAGAGCAGGAAACAGAATAGAGATTGACCAACTGAGTATTTCAAATATTAATAACCACACCTTTGACACCTTTCTTTTTCCAACTGTGACAAAATTTGTCAGAGTGAATGGGCTGACATTGTAATAGCGACTTGTGGTGTAGAATTTTACCTTGTACTTTACCTTTACCGAACTTATATTTAATTAGACTATGCTGACACAGTTGCCAGTGTTACGTATGCATTTTATCTGTATATATGTTAAAAAGTTTGGAGATATATCGCCGTGATGATTGCTGAGTCTGGCATTAAACAATCAACCAACCAACCAAGCCAATGTTTGTTTAAGGGCTATTGTCAGTGTTTCATGTAGACAATCACCTTGGGAACATAGCAGCCCAGTTATCTTTAAAGGGGCCACAACTGACTGTGCAGTGTTCCTTCACTTCAACATGCCAGAAAAGAAACCGAGGATTGTTGGTTCGAATCCTGGTTGCCCTGGTGATATTTCTAGAGTAATAAAAGAATAATGGTGACATCCTGGCTCTCCATGTGTCATGAAAAACAAAGGTGTTTTTTAAACGGCCTTATGATAACATTTGTAATTTAAATGATATTTCTTCTGATAGTATCATATAGTGAAACAGCCGACATGTTCACTACCCATGACCTTTCTGATGATGTTCCTCCTGTGTTGTGCAGTGTTCCGTCAGGGCGATGTCGGCACCAACTGGTACACCGTTCTGTCTGGTTCCCTGGAAGTCACGGTATCGGAGTCGGGCAATCAGAAGGTAGGAAACAATACTGCGAAAGTCAAAACTCAATATTGATGTTCTCGATGAATGTGTGTTAACCAGTGCCACTGCAAAATGCACTGATTTTAATTAAGAATTGAGTTTCATGTGAGTTCATTTGAGTGTGTGAACATTCACAGAGTAATCCCTGGGGGTAGTCCAGGGCAGAAAATACATCCCATGTACCCAGTGCTGGCTTCCTGTGGGGATTCTGGGGCAGAGGTCTTCTCCAAGTTCCCCATGCATGTTTCCCAGTGGTGATTCTTGGCGGAAAATAGGTGCAGTGTATAAATGTGTTAATGCTTGAATTTCAGGAAAGAGGTTTTCTCCTAGTCCCTAGTGCTTTCTCCCAGTGGTAATTCCAGGCAGAAGTACATTGGCCATTCATGTCATCTAGCTGTTATTCTGGGCAGAATAGGTCCCAAGTACATCGGTCATTCTTGTCATCTAGTTGTTATCGCAGAGTAGGTCCCTAGGACATTGGCCATTCATGTCTTCTAGCTGTTATTCTGGGCAGAATAAGTCCCTAGTACATTGGCCATTCATGTCATCTAGCTGTTATTCTGGGCAGAATAGGTCCCTAGGACACTGGCCATTCATGTCATCTAGCTGTTATTCTGGGCAGAATAAGTCCCTAGTACATTGGCCATTCATGTCATCTAGTTGTTATTCTGGGCAGAATAAGTCCCTAGTGCATTGTCCATTCTTGTCATCGAGCTGTTATTCTGGGCAGAATGGGTCCCAAGGACATTGGTCATTCTGGTCTTCCAGCTTTTATTCTGGGCCAAATAGGTACTAATTAGTCTATGCATATTTTTCAGATGTAATTCTGGGTAGAATAAACCCCAAGTACATTGGTCATTCTGGTCTTCCAGCTGTTATTTTTGGCAGAATAGGTCCCAAGTAGTCTATGCTTATCTTCCAGCTTTAATTATCACCCGCCACACGATTAGCGCGAGGCGGGGGATATAGTATTAGGCTCCTATCGTCTGTCCGTCCGTACGAATTGGGATATCTTAAGATCCGTTAACTAGATTCGTTTCATATTTACCTAGGTTCATCACAGTATAAGAAAGGTCCTAGTCAGGTTTGGTGACCTTGACCTTTATTTCAAGGTCACAAGGGGACTTTAACATTTTACTCTTGTCAGCAAGATATCTCAAGAACTGTTTACTAGATTTTCTTCATATTCAACACCAAGCTTTATCTATGGTAGACGCAGGGCCCAGTCGATTTTGGTGACCTTCACATAATTTTCAAGGTGATGGTGACACTTTGAAGATTTCAGCATAATAACCTGCATGTTATGCTTGTCAGCGAGGTACCTCAAGAACCATTCACTGGACTTTTTTCATGTTTGACACCAAGCTTCATCTAGGAAAAGTGCAAGGCCCAGTCGAATTTTGGTGACCTTCTCTTAATTTTAAAGGTCACAAAGACACTTTGAAGATTTCAGCATGTTAAATTGCATGATAACATAGTCAGCAAGATATCGCAAAAACCATTAACTGGATTTTTTCACATTTGACACCCTCAAGCTTCATCTAATGAAGGCAGGGACCAGTCAATTTTGGTGACCTTCACATAATTTTAAGGTCACTGCGACACTTTGAAGATTTCAGCATGTTAACCTGAATTCACTGGATTTTCTTCATAGACTTTCAAGACTTCCCTTGACTGTTTTTCAACAAGCAATTTCTTCAGTACCACTTTTGCATGTTTCAAACACTATGACATTCATGTCAAGGTCAAAGTCAGTCTTGAAATATTTGTGTGTTTGAACAACTAAAGAGCAAGATATCAAGAGAGGTTGACTGGTCATGTTTTTGTTGACATTTAACTTCATCTTAAACTTTCATTACTTTGTAAGTTTGATTTGATAATCACCTTAGTGACAATGCGTGTTCTGCATGTGAATATCAAAGACAATGTCAGTATTTGTTAGTGAAAATCTCGAGCATCTCCATTTCAGGATGCTGTGACTCTCTGTATCCTGGGAGCCGGGACATCGTTTGGCGAAGCAATCCTCACCAATAAACCCCATCATGCAACAGTAGTTACACGAGACTACACAGAACTCATTCGTGTCGAGCAAAAGGACTTCAAGATACTGTGGGATGTAAGTAGTATTATAGATGTGATCAGTATTGAATCATTTGCAAGAAGTTTGATAGGATGACAGGTTGCTCCCCACCCACATGATTGTTCATTGTTGTTTATTGTTGTTTTTATACAAATCTATTTCCCAAACATTTGTCATTACTTAAAACCATCGGAATTACTGCACTTCTGCATGCAGTTGTAATTCAAAATTATCAAACTGTATTTTCCAGTCCATCGATCACTTGATTGTTGGGTTTGTCCACAGGCTGCAGGAGTACTGCTATACGGCATCAAAAATGCTTCCATCCATCCTTCCTTCCTTCCTTCCTTCCTTCCTTCCTTCCTTCCTTCCTTCCTTCCTTCCTTCCTTCCTTCCTTCCTTCCTTCCTTCCTTCCTTCCTTCCTTCCCATTCCTCATCCACCCTCCCTCCCTCCCTCCCTCCCTCCTTCCTTCCTTCCTTCCTTCCTTCCCCCTTCCTCCATCCATCCATCCATCCTCCATCCCTCCTCCCTCCCTCCATCCATCCATCCATCCATCCATCCATCCATCCCCTCCCTCCCTCCCTCCCTCCATCCACCCATCCATCCCTCCATCCATCCACCCTCCCCTCCCTCCCTCCCTCCCTCGGATCCTCCACCCATCCATCCCTCCCCATCCCTCCCTCCCTCCCTCCCTCCTCCTCCCTCCCTCCCTCCATTCATCCATCCATCCATCCATCCATCCATCCCTCCCTCCTCCCTCCCTCCTCCCTTCCTTCCTTCTTCCATCCATCCATCCATCAACCCACTCCATCCCTCCCTCCCTCCCTCCCTCCATCCATCCACCCACCCTCCATCCTTCCATCCATCCATCCATCCTTCCATCTCCTCCTCCCTCCCATCCCTCCATCCATCCATCCATCCATCCACCCATCCATCCACCCATCCCTCCTCCCTCCCTCCTTCCATCCATCCATCCATCCATCCATCCATCCTTCCATCCATCCATCCATCCACCCATCCCTCCCTCCCTCCTCCATCCTTCCATCCATCCATCCATCCTTCCATCCATCCACCCATCCCTCCCTCCCTCCATCCTTCCATCCATCCATCCATCCATCCATCCACCCATCAATCCAATATGTTTGAGTCTGGGTTTTACTCAAAAACATTCTGCTGCATGTGTTTGATGTTTCAAACAAAATTGTCATACAAATTGAAATTCCATCTCTTCCTGAGAATTATTTTAATGTCTTGAAGGACTGACTAAAACAATTTTTGTTATTCTAATCAAAGTGAAGCAGGATTTGACAGTAATGTTCACTCTTGATTGAGAAATGTGACGCAGTATCAGGAATATTGATTCAGTACAACTTGAGATGTTTGTCAGATGTCAGGCTGTCAGGTTCCTGCATCCTTCAGTGAGTGGCCTAATGTGTTCACATCCCACTAAAAAAACATTCTTTTGAAAAGTTTTTTATGGTTACTCATTAAACCACATTTTCACAGCAAACATATCATGTGTGCAACAATGTTTTCTTCACAGGTTTGCCAAATCTAATGAGGTCTTGAAGAAATGTATATTATGTCACTGATGTTTATTTGAGGGAAATCTGTATCTTCTGGATGTCTTGAAAGGTCACAAATACTGGCTGATCTCAGAGATATGTACACACCCTTAGTACTGTCCTTGCTTTATAGGTACATCATATTCCTATTCTATTCAAATGCAGCTTGCTTTATAGGTACATCATATTCCTATTCTATTCAAATGCTCCTTGCTTTATAGGTACATCATATTCCTATTCTATTCAAATGCTCCTTGCTTTATAGGTACATCATATTCCTATTCTATTCAAATGCTGCTTGCTTTATAGGTACATCATATTCCTATTCTATTCAAATGCTGCTTGCTTTATAGGTATATCATATTCCTATTCTATTCAAATGCTCCTTCCTTTATAGGTACATCATATTCCTATTCTATTCAAATGTGCCTTCCTTTATAGGTACATCATATTCCTATTCTATTCAAATGCTCCTTGCTTTATAGGTACATCATATTCCTATTCTATTCAAATGCTCCTTGCTTTATAGGTACATCATATTCCTATTCTATTCAAATGCTCCTTGCTTTATAGGTACATCATATTCCTATTCTATTCAAATGCTCCTTCCTTTATAGGTACATCATATTCCTATTCTATTCAAATGCTCCTTGCTTTATAGGTACATCATATTCCTATTCTATTCAAATGCTCCTTGCTTTATAGGTACATCATATTCCTATTCTATTCAAATGCTCCTTTGCTTTATAGGTACATCATATCCTCTATTCTATTCAAATGCTGCTTGCTTTATAGGTACATCATATTCTATTCTATTCAAATGCACCTTGCTTTTATAGGTACATCATATTCCTATTCTATTCAAATGTGCCTTCCTTTATAGGTATATCATATTCCTATTCTATTCAAATGTGCCTTCATTTATAGGTACATCATATTCCTATTCTATTCCAATGCTCCTTGCTTTATAGGTACATCATATTCCTATTCTATTCAAATGCGCCTTGCTTTTATAGGTACATCATATTCCTATTCTATTCAAATGCTCCTTCCTTTATAGGTACATCATATTCCTATTCTATTCCAATGCTCCTTGCTTTATAGGTACATCATATTCCTATTCTATTCAAATGCTCCTTCATTTATAGGTACATCATATTCCTATTCTATTCCAATGCTCCTTGCTTTATAGGTACATCATATTCCTATTCTATTCAAATGCGCCTTGCTTTATAGGTACATCATATTCCTATTCTATTCAAATGTGCCTTGCTTTATAGGTACATCATATTCCTATTCTATTCCAATGCTCCTTGCTTTATAGGTACATCATATTCCTATTCTATTCAAATGCTCCTTCATTTATAGGTACATCATATTCCTATTCTATTCCAATGCTCCTTGCTTTATAGGTACATCATATTCCTATTCTATTCAAATGCTTTTGCTTTATAGGTACATCATATTCCTATTCTATTCCAATGCTCCTTGCTTTATAGGTACATCATATTCCTATTCTATTCAAATGTGCTTTATAGGTACATCATATCTCTATTCTATTCAAATGCTCCTTCCTTTATAGGTACATCATATTCCTATTCTATTCAAATGCTCCTTGCTTTATAGGTACATCATATCTCTATTCTATTCAAATGCTTCTTGCTTTATAGGTACATCATATTCCTATTCTATTCAAATGCGCCTTGCTTTATAGGTACATCATATTCCTATTCTATTCAAATGTGCCTTCATTTATAGGTACATCATATTCCTATTCTATTCAAATGTGCCTTCATTTATAGGTACATCATATTCCTATTCTATTCCAATGCTCCTTGCTTTATAGGTACATCATATTCCTATTCTATTCAAATGCTCCTTGCTTTATAGGTACATCATATTCCTATTCTATTCAAATGCTCCTTGCTTTATAGGTACATCATATTCCTATTCTATTCAAATGTGCCTTCATTTATAGGTACATCATATTCCTATTCTATTCCAATGCTCCTTGCTTTATAGGTACATCATATTCCTATTCTATTCAAATGCTCCTTCATTTATAGGTACATCATATTCCTATTCTATTCAAATGCTCCTTGCTTTATAGGTACATCATATTCCTATTCTATTCAAATGCTCCTTGCTTTATAGGTACATCATATTCCTATTCTATTCAAATGCTCCTTGCTTTATACACATTGACATTTTGCTCCATACATATATACATATGTTCTATACATGTACTTTGTGCTATATGCTTCTTGCCTTCTACATGTTTATTCCTTAAAACATATGCTGCTGTGCACATTTTTTCTCAATATTCAGGCTAAAGTTTGCTCTATATGTATGTTCCTTGTCTGTATGTACCGGTATGCTTAATCTTGCTCTAAACATATGCTTCATGCTAATTACATGAGTTGCTGTACATATCCTTAGCTCTTGCACATATACGTAAACTTTCTCTAAACATATACATCTTGCTCTGTACACAAAGCTCTTTACATGTTTAGTATTATATTTATAGATATATGCATGATCTTGGTGAAAACATGTTTAATCTTACTCTATACACATACTTGTTGCTCTATACATATGTGTCTTGATTTGTACATTTGAAATATTATGCACTATGCATACGTTTAATATTGTTCTCAACATATATATAATTCTGCTCTAAACATATATGCATAATGTTGCTCTAAAAATAGGCTTCTTACCCTGTACTTAGGTTTCTTGATCTGTACATATTGGCTTTTTGCTTGATACAAATGCTTTCATGAGGAAGATTAAAATGAATCTATTCCCAATTATTTACCTATTTGTAATCGCTCGCTTTACTTTAAATACAGTATACCAAGACCTCCCCAATCTTTATTTATTTTATTTGAACCTTAAACCTTGAAGCATCCAGAGTATGAGGTAGTAACCATGTAATTGACGACTGTTCATGCATTAATGTGGAATGTCTGACACGCTGCAGATCTGTAGACATCATGGACACTGATAGACTCGCTGTTCACACACTGGCCTCAGGGGGAATATGTACAAATCAATTACAAGAAGTCACACTGGTTATTTGGGCCATGATGATAAGGTCGGTAACCACAGAAATTGATTGCCCTGGGACGAAGCGTGTATTTTCATGTGTGATGGTTTAGTGTTTCTGTTGACGAGTGGACGTGCCGGATTGCTGATGGTGCCATCTGTGAATGTTACCACACGTAAAGACCACTAGGATTTCTACCTGATTGTCATTGTATCTGCACTGTCTCATGTTTGTGTTTCAGAGAAACAAACAGTTAATGGAGGGAGTACTGACACCTCTAAGTGCCTTGCCTCTAGGTGAGTTGTACAAACTGTTGTGGTTGTGGTGGTTAAGGTGAGGTTAAATGGGGTTTAATGTCATACTTAAGAATATTTCGTTCATTTTACTACGTGCATATGTGTGTATGTGCGGCTGCTTGTACTAGCCCAGACTTAAGCTGGTTTTATGGTGCTAGCTCACTGAGATACCATGACACAGTTATGCATGAATACCCCACTCAGACACATTATACTGACTCCGAGCTGACCAGTCCTTGTTGTACACATTATTGCTGAGCGCCAGGCAGGGACCAACAAGTACTATATTTTAATGTCTTTTGGTATGATGAGGCTGGGGATGGAACCTGTGACCTTCTGCTCTCCGGGCGGACGCTCTAACCACTACTCCATGGAGGCGGTTTGTGGTGGTGAAGAGCAGTGGATGAATAATGCCCATATGTTTATGTGTCTGGGTATCATTATGTTACAGTGTTTACAGGGGATCATTATTAAAAGGTTGTCATGAAATTTTAGTTCAAAAGATTATTAATTGCATGGCTTCTTAGTTGTAGGTTTGGATGGCAGACAATGTTATTAAAGTCAAATCTTTGTTGTCAATGATGCCAAGCAAAGACCTGAGGAACTTCTGTTGAAGGTCTTGTCAGGCCATTGATCAAACCAATCAGTGTATTGGTTGTAAGATGGGGAGAGTAACAGTTGGAATTTTCTTATCATGCAACTGACTGCCAAGATTAACACAGGGTTTTCAGACTGACAGTTATTGGCTGTGCGATTGATCCAGTCAAATTATCAACTATATCTTTCATTGGAGGATCCAAGGGGTTTGATACCCCACTATTGAAAATGACTAAAGACCACATTGAAGGTAATGTTTTGCATTGGTGGAGCCAAGGGGGAGTTCAGGGGGTTCGAAACCCCCCCCAAAGAAAATTCCTGGATCCACCTATGTCTTTTTTCAGTGAGATAAAAAAAATTAATAGAGGAAACTCAGCATTCAGAAGTCCTGTGCTACAATCTTGGCCATCTGTTAGACATTTTGATGTTCCTTCTTTGAGTGGCATTTAGAGGTTCGTGTGATGAACAACGGGGAGAGTTCTATGGATATACAACTTCATTATTATTAATATGAGCGATGTTTCGGTATTAGTAGCTACACCGAACTCTCCCTGTTGACCATTCCGATGTTCTTTTGTTCAGTTTTCAAATTCTGAATGGAGAACCTTGTCAAAATACTTTTCGAAGCATACTACACAATTTTCCGGTTGTGCATGAAACCTAGGCGGTCGCGTGTTTGAGGCGCTCTCGCTACCCACGGATGACTATGCCTAAACACTGCTGAAAAACAGGCAAATGTATATGAACTAAACCTTACAGTTGGAAGGCAAAGTATTGAAGGTAAACTTTTCAATTTCAAAACCGTGCGATAAAACAACTGAAATACACACGCCACGTGGTGATGTCTGACACAGCGAGAGCAACACGTGCTACAGCGAACATGGAAGAAATTGTCCAAAAATCAGAAAAGGTTGGCTCGCGCTAATTTCTAATTCCAAAACAGAACTTCAAGCTTCCATAGATTCCCTTAAAAGTGAAATTTCTGACTTTAAACAAACCGTTAGTGGGGTTGAGCACGCCGGGTCTCACATCATGATGACGATTTGAACTCTCTCCAAAGAGATAGCTGAAGTCAAGAAAGAAAAGTCGATTCTTGAGAAACAAGTGACTAGTAGTATAGGGAATGGGGTTTTGGACCAGTTCCAACAAACCTACCAGCTCTCTGCAAAGCCTTATTCCCCAAATAAGGCTTTGGTCGGACCCTTAGCTCTTGCTACCATTACCCCTACTGCTTTCCCAACCTATAAAAATTTCCCAACCTATAAAAAAAGTAGTAAATGTCGGCAGCCACAATTCCCAAAGGGAGAAATAGAAATGTATTGGCGCTTCCTCCTTGGGAATTGTGCCGCTGCCTTCTCTCACATCACACAAAGTTGCAGAGACAACGGCGGATACGAACCCACATACACAGCTTGGCGCAGACTATACATAATGGGTCGCACCACTCAACCGACTGAGCTACCGGACTTAGCTGAAGTAGGTCAGTTTAACGGTAGATCATGCGCACTCCACGCATCACGTGATACGCTGTCTGGAATCAATAATTCCTGTCTGCCTGGCCCATCCTCAAGTAGTACAAGGTAGGTTCGTCTGATTTTTCATTTTATCTATGTCCACGCGCCGCTATGTCACGCTGGCCTCGATGAAACAGTTTAATGTGAATCGCCTATGATCTCTTTGGTGTTCGTTATAAAAGCTTGCCGGGCTTTTGTATCCCCTGTTCTATATACTTTTTTCTCGTCCCTCGCTGATAGCAGACTTACGAGACTTGGATCGAATCTCTTGTTTCATTTTGTCATATTTTGTGAGTTCAGAGAGGATTGAACGAAACTCCTCCTCTGAGATCTTACTGTCAGTGAGTGCCGTGGAAATACGCTCACTCACCGTGTTCAGCTTTGCTTCAGCCAGAACCCTGATTTCGTCGTGTTTCAATGCTTTACGATGCAGTCTGCGGGATACAAGCTTAAGCCCCAACCCCAACACCCCTGTCACCCCAGCTGTTATTTCGAGCCCCATCACTATAGGTGCGGCCACGATGGTAGCTAACAACCCAACACCTGCCACCCCTAGGCCCATGCTGGCTGCCATAAGGGTAGTATCAGTCCCGCCCACGCATTGAAAGCTCTATGGTACTTTTATATAGTGCTTTCCGCTTATCGCGGTCTTGTTCTAGTTGACGTTTTACATCGCATAACTGTCTCAAGCAGAACCCGTCTACGGTTTCCAGGGTCTTCGCTACTTCATCTACGCCTGGGTACAGTCCCATCCTATAATATATATTACAAAAGATATTTTAATTGGGTATCACTTAATAGTTGGCCAACGTACCTGAGGCTTATAAAACTTAGATTCTCGTATGTGTAGATACGGGGAAGGGTCAATAGGTAACTTCTGGTCTATCTCAACATCATAGCAGTTTATTATGTGGGGTAGTAATCCCTGTTGGGAGTCCCCCAATCGTATCACGAATCTGCAAGATAAAAAACCTGATGTTAAGGGGTCGTTACCCCAACGTATTGTTACACCGGGTAAAAGTTCCAAGTTTGGGGATGGGTCAAATTCATCCAAATCAAACTTACCCTTGTAAGCGACTTCTACGATGAGTGTGGAGTTTGTTTCCATACCCCTAACCCCTATTATGGAATGATGGTGGTGGGTGGCTATTAACTGGGACTTCCTGGCTGAAATTAACAGGGTGTCCCTAGGCCAATATTCAGAGTTAGAAACTATCATCCTTTCAGTTGGAATGAAAGACGTGAGCAAGGTACCGTTGTTCCTAATTTCAGAGACATAACCATCTTTGTCTAGTGAGATATAAGGTGCGGTGGTGGTCACGTTGATCACCCATTTAGGTTCTTTTAAGACTGCCAGGTCCTGCCGTATGTACACACCGTTGTTAAATAATAGGACGTATGAGTTGTTGTTATGACCAAACTTATCGAATCCCTCTATGTCTCCTAAGCCCCTGAGTGTGGGTTTGGGTAGATGATCGGTCATTACCGCCCGCCTATACACGTTGTCTTTCAAGTGTAGGATGTATGAGCCACCTTCCTCACCAGGCTGATCGAACCCATCCGTGTCCCCTAGATCGTTAAGCGTAGTGTTGGGTCGATGACTAGTCATTGTTATAATACTATTATGATATAATTTCCAACTAGTGTTCTGGTACTAGTTCAGGGATATAGCTCAATCCCATAATATATTTTAATTGGGTTTCATTTAACCTTCGATTAATGTACTTAAAGCCGATAATACTTAGATTAACGTGCGTGTAAAAAAGCGGGGTCTTAGCTCTACGTCCATTAAGGAGACGAACCCCATCAAGGGTTGGTACAGGGTCGTTTCCCGATACCTTAATAATACAACAACGTTGGTTATTACACCTGGCTTCCCAACCTATCAGCATATCATCTATAATTTTAATATACCTTCTAGTCAAACTTATATCCCGAGAGATAGACGTCTATGATGAATGTGAAGTTTTCCGCGACATTTCTAAAGACCTCTTGGTAATCGAAAGTAATTTGATCTCTGTCTTCACCGTCCCACTGGAAGCTAACATGTTGCCCGAGTGGTCTGGTATTGGTATGACTTGTACACTAGATTCCGGAACGAACGATCCTATAATCATACCGTTGTTCCTAATCTCGAGATAGTATTATTTTTTTCAAGGAGATATAAGGTGAGGTGAGGGTTGTTGACTAACCATTCAGGCTCTTTAAAATCTGATAACGACACCCGCCTATACACGTTGTCTTTCAAGTGCAGGATGTATAAGGTGCCTTCCTCACCAGGCTGATCGAATCCCTCCGTGTCCCCTAGATCGTTAAACGTAGTGTTGGGGTGAAGCCAAGACATTGCTATAATACTATTACGATATAATTTCCAACTGGTTTTCTGATAATAGTTCAGGGGTGCACTTCACCCCCATGAAGTGTATGTTGTCGGGTAGGAATATCTTGGTTAGTGATATAGTGTCTTCCACGACCACGGTGACACCCTGGAGACTGGTTTTGGAGTCGACACCCACCCGCACGTAAACGTTGCAAACGTGATACTGTTGTTGTTTTCCCACCTCAGTTTGACCCCTTCACGATCTCTCGACATCATCCCGCGATGGTTCCCCTAGGTAGACTTGGATGACCAGTGTTGAGTTCGCCGGTAGACTCTCCAGGATCCTGACCACGCCTTCGAATTCAGACACCAACTGCAATACCACGTTTTGCATGCCCGCTTTACTCGATAGCATGTGGGCTGCCATACTGGCGAGTGGGCTGATGACTACGCTACGTCTCTGAGTCGGGACGTAAGCCACGAGCAGGGTTCCGTTGTTCACGACTTTGTTTAGGTGGTTGTCTTTGTTATCCGTGAACACGTAGGGGGAGCCGAGCCTAATATTGAGA